ATAAATTGGATTTTTCCTCAGTATTATAAAAATTACAAAGAAGTGAAAAATGCTCTTTCACCGTATCTCATCTGAGTTATTGGATCTAGCCTTTGATTAGTTTACAAACAACAGGATTTGCAGAGAGATAATCACTTGCTAGCTCAGCTCATTTTCCTGGTTTCTTCACTTGAATAGGTGATGTGTTGCTGAATATCAATGGCATCGATTTGACCAATTTAAGTCACAGCGAGGCCGTCGCCATGCTGAAAGCCAGCGCTGCTTCCCCCACTGTTGCCCTTAAAGCACTCGAGGTCCAGATTGTTGAGGAGGCAACTCAGACCACTGAAGAGCAGCCAAGCACTTTCAGTGAAAATGAGTATGACGCCAGTTGGTCCCCATCGTGGATCATGTGGCTTGGGCTTCCAAGGTACTGATAGCTTTTTTGTTGTTTTGTGGAATAATCATAATTGCAGTTTTTGTCAGTGTATAACAGTAAATCTAACCACTGGGGGTAGAAGGCTTTAATTAGATAAAAGTAGCAGCATCAAATCAAATTATAAAAGAAAATGGTAAGTTTTCATAGGATATTACATTTAAAAAGGTAGATTTAATAACAAGAACTAAGCTAAAGGACTTAATCTGTGTTTATTAAAACAAAGCAATTCTGTTCATCCCTATTAAGGATCGTAAGTGGACTAAGATGGGATTGGATATTCCAGTTTCTTTCTTAGAAAAGTCATCATTACTAGCTTTCATTCTGATACACGGTTAGACTTCACATGCATTTTTCTCCAGAAAAACCAAGCCAATGCTTACAGCCCAGCCCCATCCCAGAAGCCTTTCTAAAAGCCCTTATTTTATCCCTTTCTTATCTTTTTAACTCTCCATAAAAAGGCAGAATTTAAAACTCAGTTTTTATTGGACACAAGAGCTTTAAGCCAAACTGTTGGTGTTCAAGAGTATCTGCTCCACCTTTATAGAATTCATTGCTTCATAACTGACTGTGACCAGCCAAGACATTCTGTAGTTGGTTAGTGTCAGGGTCACAGAAGCATAGGAACCTCCAGTGGCATCTCAGTGACCTTTCTCTAGTGAAGTAATTGTGTTGTTGTTTGATATTGAGATTGGAAGAATGTGTATTACTATCATTATTTGTTTCCAAATCAGTTAAATTCTTACTTTATATGAGAATCCTACAACTGAACTATGATGAAACAGTTTGACTCCTAACCAAGTATGAAAATTACCATTCTTTAAAATAAAAATAAGGAACAAGATTGTGCCAGTTTCAGAGCCATCTGACTCATAGAGAACAAATTTATAATAATAACTAGATTTTTATTGTATAGTGCTTTATGGTTTATAAAGTACTTTCACATAAAGAATAACAGAAAAAAGCAAGTATATTTATTATTGGATTTCAACTGTTGATAACCTAACTTGCTGACTTGTTCTGTTGGTTTAAAAAAAGATTAAAATGAGGCCGGCCCATGGCTCACTCGGTAGAGTGCGGTGCTGATAACACCAAGGCCACGGGT